TGGCACCCTCTGGCCATGAAAGATAGTGGACGACTCCTTTATTCCATCAGAACCTAGTAATTCTTCACTCTTCTGAACTGATCTGCCCAGATATGTGGCAAGAAGCGACAAGACCTTTGGAAACTTCGTATCCCCTTTCTTTGACCGCGATACTGTCAAACCCAATGTCCGGTAGCTCTCCAAATGCTCATCACCAGCATTAGTTGTAGATGAGCAGCAGGTGGCGCGGCGCCACGGCGCCCTCCCCAAGCCCCATGTCCTCTTTCTGCGACAGCACTACTGTCTTGACGGCCCGCTCCGTGAAGCGCTCGAAGACGATACTCAGGCCCGTCTCCAGAAATTCGGGGGCCCGGTGCGAAATGGGGAAGGGGGCCCAAAAATATACAGAAATTTGTATAACTAATATGACTAAACATATTTTCACTAATTATATAGCTTTCAATATATGTTATTTTGTACAAAATATATCATATATTGTAATGCTATAAAGAATAAATGTAGTACTCTTTTTTTGCGGAAAAACATCCAACCTAGGGTTCTACCAAACAGTAAACTGATCTCATGTTCTACCAAAAGTATCATCCGTCTAGTAATTAATCGTTGAAACAAGAATCTTTATATTGGAAAGAAATATGCTAGCAGTGTAGCAGGCGAGCACACAACAATGAATTAGTACTAGAATTAGAAATTAGATTATGGGCACATGCCTAATCGAGTAGTACTGCTGTACTACTAGGGATTGCATTACATACGACATGAAAATATCAAAAGAGTCAGAAAGAGAGCGATTGTATCAGAAAGAAATAACCCTAACTAATCTTCCGTTCATCTATTTTGCTTCTGGTTTGTGGCTTACGGCTTACCTTGGAAAATATTGGGGGATGCCAGTTGTGGCTACTGCAGTTGAGAAGCAGGCGGCGACGGCTGGACGCCGCGGCCGCTATCTATCGGCGGCTCATCTCCTCATCGAAGCAGGCAGGCGGCGCCTCCCTTTCTTTCTCACGAAGTCGTTCGGAGCGATAGATGATCGCTGGTGAACTGGTGGACACACGCACGCTCCGCTAACGAGTAGGCCCAGTAGTGTAACTAGCCTGCCTTGTTTTTCTATTTGGATCTTGGATCGGTGCTAGGCCGACTGGGCCCTGTTGGCTCGAATGAAACTTAATAGCGGCCTCACCCTAAACGTGCATCCTTTTCTCGCGCATCAGCCATATGATCGGGCTTCAAACATAAAACTACAATTAAAATTAGTAGCTCGAAGGTTGATTTCTTTGATAACCGATCCATAACGGCCCTGGGTTCCATTCCGTTAATGGCGAGGCCCATAGTCTAGCTAAACATTCTCTTTTCCTCAGTCGAGGAAGGCACATTTGGTTGCTGAACCCCCATGACCCGGTGTGTATCCCACATCATGTGGACTACCATCAATAAAGTTTAGCTTCTGCCCTCAAAAAAAAAGAAACCATATGATTGGGCGAACGAAAAGCCAGCCAAACGAACCGGACATGTTCGTGGTTTATTCCTTCGATCGGGCCCCTACAATTTTATAGGGGCCCTGTGCAGTTGCACAGCTCGCACAGCCTTGTGGACGGGCCTGACGACACTGTTGACCCTGCAGCGCGCCCGGCGCACGGGCCGAGAGGCCTTGCGCCGCGCCTCCTTCTTCTCACCTTCTCCTGCAGCCACCTCTCCACCCGCCGTCTCTCCATCTTCCCCACCCCCCACATCACGCGGTCGGCCGATCCGGCAGAATCAACGCCTCTCCTGTTGGAGATTTCGTGCTCTGCTGGACCTCCTCCTGATGGTCGTAGATTGAGAGGACATGGACGTGCTGATCTTGGTCCGGCAAGAAGCACGGCGCCTCTCTCCCGTGTGCTCCTGAGATGCAGATCGAAAAGCTCGAGGGAGGTGAAGCTCCGATGGCTAGGCGCGCGGTCGTGACAGTGTGGGGAGGAGCAACGGGTAACAAGGTGCGGATGGAAGGAAAGGGCGCGAAGAGCGGCGGCGTGGCGTGAGCCGTGAGATTGGGGGATGCCGCCGACAGAAGAGACTGAGGAGAGAAGAGAGGTCTCTTTCTTCTGGACAAAGGAAACGACCAGTGATGGGGCAGCGACGAAGCAAACAAAAGGCACAACAGTGTCATGGCCACCCCTACTGCCCACGTGGCACGCACGAGCGAACGGCCTTGATGCGTATGTTAATGTGTTGGATTGTTGGGCGTTCCCCCGTCAAAACAGAAGAAGAAAAAAAACATTGTTACGCGTTGATCAATGAGGATAGAGGGGACAACGTCTTTAGTCTATCAGGCCAACTTCATCACGCGATCCCAAACGGACGTCCGTTTTGTCCGGATTCTTTTCGTTTGGGTAGGGCAATGGGGTCGTGTCCGGACGTGTTCTGGGATGCGGTGGCCGTGCACCCAGCGCGCGGCCGCATCCGTTTTCCCCATTTTGTCTGCCTCCATTTTAAAAAGAGAGCAACATTTCAAATGTCAAGCCTTAGTTCATCAGGCCAGCGGCCCTAGTTCACTCCGGCAACAGAGCCAGCGGCCTACACGTCCATCGCCGGCAACACGGCCCTGCCCACCCTCGTAGATCACATCCTCCATGAACTGGTTGTAGAAGGGGTCGTCGACCCGTGGCGTTGGTGTTGGCATTCCGTCGAACAAGACGCGGGGGGACGGCATGGTGCCCGTACTTGCTTTCTTTGCATCTCGACGGACGGCCCGCCGTCCCTGCTGGACCCAGGCGTGACGTTGAGGTCGATGACGGCCGAGGGGCGCGGTGTGGACGGCGAGATCACGCCAACGTCCGGCGACCCCGAGAAATGGGTCTGGTCGTCGTGCCTTGGCGGGGGAAAGCCAGGCAACATGGGCGTGGTCCGCCACGTCGGTGACTGGCAGTGCGGAGGCCGGGCGAACGACGAGCCTGTGCTCGCCGGGCCGACAGCCGCTGCAGGGAAACCGGCTGGACGGCACATGCCAAGCATGAGGAGGGCGTGCGCTTTGTTGACGATGCCCTCCTTCTCGTCGACCGCAGCCTTGCGCTGCGCGGCCTCCATCGCATCGCGCTCGGCGGTGAACTTGGCCGTGGAGGCATTGCCCTTGACGACCGCCCTCCGGTTCCTCTTCTTTGCCGATTCCGCGTCTAACTTGACGATCTCCTCCGGCGTGCACTCCGACCGCGGCTTGCTTGGCGCCTTGGCCGCCTTCTTCTTCACCTTTTCGGGCAGGTTGACGGTCAGGCCGCCATAATTCGGCTGAGCGTCGGCCATGAACGGGGGAGTGAGGGGGCGACGAGAGGGACATGGGAGGGTTTGTGGAAAATGGCGCCAAATGGGGCGGGCAGGGGGTTTTGCTTTGTGCCACCGACAGGCGGGTCAGGGGAGGACAAGCGCGCGAGTCCCGCCCGTCCACGCGCTGTCCGTTTCACCCCAAACTCGGCATAAACTTGGGTCGGGGATGGGTCGAAAGCGAACACGAAACGGACAAAAGTCCATTTGCTCCCGCGCCCTGGGCCGTTTGGTTTGTCCCTTTTACCCCAAACGGACGGGGCCGGACAAGATGGGGCCGCACGGTGAAGTTGGCGTGAGAGAACGTCTTGTCACAACAGACGCTTAAGTCCCTGCAAAAAAAAAAAGACGCTCAAGAGATGGATTTCGGACTGGTTGGGTTGATAAGAGTGTGATGATCATGCTGCTATGTCACAGAACGCAACAAGCGATGGATTCCGTAACCACTAGCACACGGATCGCGTGCTTCCTCGCGCAAATTAGGGCCCGTTGGATCGCTCATCGACTTATCCAACGGCTTCGCAGCTAGATTGCGACGTCACAAGTTTTCACCGCCGGTCCATTGCGCCTTCGGGTGGTAAAAGAAAATGGGAAAGAGAAAAATTTGAGTATCATTCCAATCCGCCGAAATCGTCGTTTCCCATTCTCCACCACCATCACCATCCGCCGCCGCCGCCGTGGCGCTCCAGGAAGAAGCGCAAGTCCGACCGAGAATCACCGCCGGCGGGCCTCGATCTCATCAACGCCCTCCCCGACGCCGTCCTCTGCACCATCATCTCTCTCCTTCCCACCAAGGAAGGAGCCCGCACGCAGGCCGCTCCGCGCCCCTCAACCTCGTCGCCGACTTCTCCCTCTCCTGGAAGGAGCGCAAGCTCGTTGTTCTCATCTCCAGGATCCTCGCCGAGCACCCTGGCCCAGCCCTCCTCTTCGAGCTCCCCGACATCCGCCAACGCCACCATGACACGCTCGACGGCTGGCTTCGCTCCCAGGCCCTCACCGGTCTCCAGATCCTCTACTTAGGGTACAGCGCCGATGATGACAAACACCGCATGCTACCGCCGCCCGCGCTCCGCTTCGCGCCCACACTCCGCGTTGCCACATTCCGCCGCTGCCATTTCCCGGACCTGTCCGGGCGAATTTTCCATGCCTCGACAAGTATGAGGTCACCATCTCGGCCTTGTCGGCGCATTCTCTGAATTTCCCACACCTCAAGCAGCTCAGCATATGCGAGGTCACCATCTCGGGGGACTCTCTGCGCAACATGCTCTCTGGCTGCCATTCATTGGAAAGCCTTTTTCTGGAAGGCATTCTCGGCGTTGCTCGTCTCTGCATCAGCTCCGCGACTCTTAGGAGCATCGGCTTCTCTGCAATAAGGCGGAGGGTGTTGGGGTGGGATTGTGATTGGGATTTCGCTGACCTTTTACAAGAGCTTGTCATCGAGGACGCTCCTTGCCTTGAGAGGTTGCAGCCCCTCTATCCAGGTTCTGGTCCAGAGACTGTCCGGGTAATCCAAGCACCTAAGCTGCAAGTATTAGGTGTGTTGTCGAGGCAAATATTCAAACTCTTCATTGGAACCACGGTTTTTCAGGTAACATCAGCCTTCTACAACCAAGCAATCAGAATTCACATGTAGTATGCAAGTGTTTTTTTTTTCTTATTTTGGTTTGTCATTTTCATCAGAAAATGATTCCCATCAGCGTGACAACCACATGCCCACCGTGAAGGTTTTAGCTATTGAATATGATGGCCCTAATCTTGATACACTAATTGGCCTGCTCAAGGGCTTCCCCTGCTTGGAGAGGCTGTATGTCATTGTGAGTAGTATTCTTATTTGCCTGTCTGAACTAGTATCAACATAAGCATGACTGACTTGTGCTCTAATACATTAACCAACTGCCATTACATTGTTGATTCTCTCCATCTACAGTTTAACGCACGGTCGCGGATGAAGATTGAAAGTGTGCAAAAATATGGCCCACTAGATCCAATTGAATGCCTCGAGAGCTATCTCAAAAGAGTGGTGTTGGAGGGCTACTCTGGGGACAAGCCGAATGTTGAATTTGGTAAGTTTTTCGTTTTGAATGCGAAGGTGCTAGAAGAAATGAAATTTGGATCCATTCACAGCCGCGACCGCGAATGGAAGTCTAATCAACACATGTGGTTACTAGTGGACAGCAGAGCTTCTCGAGACGCTCGATTCGAATTCACAAGTCGTTATTGTAGGCATAATGGCCTAGGTAACAGTCATACACATGACTTACCAATGGCCAATCCCTTCAAGTGCTTTGATGCTGCATGCAGAGTCGGCGCGGAATGCCTATTTTGTAAGTCAAAGTAATCCTCCCCTTATGAATCTCTGTTCCGTTGTGCTTGAATGCCTATTTTGTAAGTCAAAGTAATCCTCCCCTTATGAATCTCTGTTCCGTTGTGCTTGAATGTTACCCTACTTTAGTGATCTAAATGCTCTTATATTTCTTTACGGAAGGAGTATTTAGTATCTTTTCTGTTGATGTGATGTTGTAAGTTGTGAGCTGCTACACCATCAGCTTGCTTCTGTACTGGCTTTAGAAGGCAGGGCCTCTAATATTTCAAAAGCTATATTTTCTGTTTCGTTATGCTTGAATGTTGGTATTTGACTCGTTTTCCGTATATTTTGCAGTGGTTGTTTCTTTCCTGTGTGATGTAACGTTGTAATCTGTTTTTATACTAGCAGCTACTATGCTTCCGAAACCTGAAACAATCTCTCTGCCTGCTCGATGTTCAGACAAACACCAGAGAAAGTGGTGTGCCTCATTTTGTAACAGGAGAAAGCGTCGAGGTGGCCAAAAACCAGAGAAAATGAAATGCAGAGAAGAAAGAGAGCACAACCATATTTCGAACTGCCTTTGCTTTCTCTAAGTTTGGGCACCCGTGTAGTATGAACGCCTTTCTTATTTTTCGAACTGCCTTTGCTCCACCATCCTACAATTCTCTTTTAGCAAGAAACTCATATTTGCTGTAATATGAACTTAATGTCCGGATGTTATGATCTAATCTGGTCGTGCTTGGAAAGCAACGCCTTAAACTGTTATTCTGAAAAACAGGTTGCTGAAGCTGTTTTAGTCTGAAACTGGTGGTCTGAAAATTAGTTTGCTACGAAGTTTACTAAAGCCTCAGTTAGGACTTGTGTGAAACTGCAGTAGGACTTGTCTGGATTTTCATAAGTCAAAAAACTTCACTGAACCTTCTAATGGGAACTATTGGTTTTGGTGCTCTGATTCAGATGATTCAGTTCTTCAACTCAATACTATATGCCGCTAGTGGAGAAGATAATGGGTTCAGTCTGCCCAGTTCAGCTTCATAGAAAAGATAATGGTATCTATTTTCTAGCCTACTGTAAATTGTTTCAAATAACGTGTGGAAACAATTCAGGTTGCATACGACAGAAAAATACATTTTTTGAAGGTTTTGTACACCATATTTCTTTTTTATCTTCTAATTATTAACTTGTGACACGTGATGCCTAACTGCTTCACTGTTTCTTCTAATTCAACCCACAGTAGAGAAGAGCTGCAGTACCTGGATGTTGATGCAGAGTAGAGAAGACCAGGGTCGGACTCCTGGCGGTCGCTCCACAGTTCACTTGTTCAGAGTGTCGCCGCCTTGGACACAACGGCATGCGAATTCAGAACTTTTTTGCACTGAGACACGGGTTCAGGAATACCCAACAGCTGTTTTGTTTCTGCTGCCTAACCTGGTGAGGAACCTGTTTGCATTGGCATCATGGTTATAAAATTCAGAAACTGTTTGATGCAGTGACATCAGCCTGTGATGTTTGCGCCCTTATTCTCGCCTTTACTTCAACGCTGCCAGCAGAGATACGGGTTTATTCTCTTACATAAATCATCATCAGGTATTTACGTGTCCATGCAGATGTGGTGGTTCAGCACTTGGGTTTAGTTATTCTGCTTAAAGTTTCAGTCCAGCAGCAGAAAATGGGTTTGTGTTTGAATGAGAGCGAGTTCTGAACATGGCGATGTTAATGCACCCAGACACCAGATGCCGGCGACAAAATTCTACAGTACATCGTGTAGGTATTTGCATGGTGCCAGCATGGCTACTTTTTTTGTTTCTTTTTTCAGTGTAGTAGTAATTATCGTGCATAGATGATACTATTACTACATATAACTGTCTGATTTTAACACCTAAAGAAAAGCAGAGGTTGAAGCTTATATAGCATTTATTTCACGAAAACAAGTTTCTGCATATTATATTGTTAATTTTCAGATTTCATACATAAGCTGCTGTCGTCTTTGCTTTGTGGTGGATGAAGAGGTAAACTGAACCTACTGTTCCTGTAGCCATGTTTATTGTGTCAGTAACGCTAGGAACAAGACATTTAAACACGTACTGGTCCCGGATTATATTAGAATTAGGAAGAAATTATGTTCCTCGCGTATGTCAGCTATGGACGCCGGCTGATATGATCATGACGCAAACATGTGCACTTCTTGCAGGGTTTGTGTTATTCAGTTTCCATTCTCATTGAGTTTCTTTACAGGTGATGTTGCTCTACTTCAGTTTGTGCCCGTAATTCCTGAAAATTTTACCCTTGCATTCAGGGCAGGCTGCTCCAGTGATGACTGATGAGGATGGACACGCCCTTGGAATTACATGCTGGCAACATCTACACAAGGGCTATGTTCGAGAAATTCGGGGAGATTCTTTACAAGGCTGGTCAGTACAAGGTGGAGGAGGTGGATAAAGGTGCAAAGTACCTCGTGCATCGTTACCATCCAGAGAAGCATGACAAATGGTGCAGGGTTGTGTATGCCGTGGGAGTTGGCGATAATGGTAAGGAGATTATGTGCTATTGGCAATTTTGAGCAGGCGGGCACACTTGCAGCAGTCAGCAAGACCAGATTTCAGCTAACTCCATCACTTTTCGGCAATCGAACCTGTCCTGTATACACATGCTATATATGGAGGTTGTTAGACTTTGTGATGCAAACACAAGAGCCTATGAGGTGGCCATGGACTCTTCAAGGCAGCAATGCAGAAGCTCACGCCTGTAGCTGCTATATATGTGTGACGGACGGTATTGGTTTGGAAGACAGGGTTCGCGAGAGCAAGATCATGCGTAAACACTAGTAGAAAAGGGCCTAATGTGACGCACATTAGTTCCAGTTTGTAACTGAACCGGCATTAATGTGACCATTAGTGTCGGTTCCAACGGCTAGGCGGGTGGAGCTCATTAGTACCGGTTCGTGGTGTATCGGTTCGTGCCATGAACCGGTGCTAAAGAGGTTGTGGCGGGCTGGGGCCCCACCAGCATTTTTAGTACCGGTTCATGGCATGAACCGGTACTAGAGTTTTTTAGTTGATTTTCTTTGCAGCTGTTTTTTAGTCCACCTCGCCAAGCGAGAGGCACTCGCAGCGGTTTATAAGCCCTGAGTGTAGAGACGATGAAGAAGAGACGCAATGCTCATCTGCACGTTGCTTAGCTTCAGGCCTTGAGGAAATGGTGTAGACTGCACGGAGCTATCAGGGTTTCGGACGAAAACAACACATAGCTTCGTGCCAAGTCACATACTGGGTTTGGGGTACGAACCGATCCGACGCACTCTTATGTGTCATCGCCGCCGTCTTCCACCAATCCATCTTCAGAACATAAACCAACGCACCGACCTTGCCAGGCCGCTTTGCGACGCACTCTTATGTGTCATCGCTGCCGTTTTCCACCAATCCATCTTCAGAACATAAACCAACGCACCGACCTTACCAGGCCGCTTTGCCATCGAAGCCACCATAATGCCAGACAACGTCCTCCTCTTGCGCGAGTCTGTTAGAGATATATTTGGGATACATGTATTTGGTAGTTTAGGATTTGTAATTCGTCTCTTACCTTATCTCCAGGCGAGGCGTCTTGCCCTCCAAGTCTTATACTCAATATATACTCGTCCTCGAGTCTCAATAATACATCCATCATATTCCGCAACAATTTCTCTCTCTCCCTTCTAACATGGTATTAGACTAATCGATCCAAACCCTAGCCACTGCCCGCCGCCTCCGGGGCGGTCGGTCTCCATGATCGCCGCCGGGGGCCACGCCGCCCGTACCTAGGGTTCGTCCGCCGGTCGTGTCAACCGGCTGCCCTAGAGAGTCTTTTTCCCGATCCTTTGATCCGGATTTCTTTTTCTTTTTCTCGCCGGTCGTTTTGATCGGCGTCTCTTTTTTGGTTTTCCGATCTAAAATCGGTTTGCGTCGCTCACCGTCGTTTGTCATCTACATCACGCCTCTACTCCGACAACGGATCAGATCTGGATCAGTTGCTGCAGGACACCCGGCTTTGACGCATGCAACGGCGTCACATGGGCTGATGTGGCGGCTCCTGGCGCTGTCCTGCTCGTCCCGCGCGCGGGCATAGTGGACTGCCGCGTGGTGTGGTCGTCTGCTCATGTGCCAGAGGGCTGCCCATCCACACCGCTGCTACATCTTGTGTGCAAGTCTTCTACTTGTGCATCATGTGCATGTGTGCTTGCGTGCGGGTGTGCATGCATCGCACCACGCCGATTCCCTTCCGGCCGTACTCAGCGACTTCATCGATCTGCGAGCAATTGACTTGATCACTCGAAAGCACGCGATCTATTCCGTCTTCGTCGTGCGTTCGGTCTGATCAACCGCACGTGCACATATCGTTATCGAGTATCGTGCGTCTCTCCGCCGATCGAGTATCGGGTTGCCGCTGCGTCACCCCGTCGGGCCGCAGCACCGCCGTCTCATGGTTTTCTTCACGGCTGCTTCGACTCGTATGTCGCCGCTACGTCGCCTCTTCGGGTCGTAGTGCCGCGATACGCGGTCCCCGCTGCCGCCCCAAGGCCGTCCCCGCGGCTGCACCGACTCGCGAACCGCCGTTGCGTCGCCCCTTCGGGCCGCAGCATCGCGGCCCACGGTCCACGCCGCCACCCCGAGGTCTTCCCGGCGTCGTCCCGACCCGCCTGTCGCCGCTGCGTCGCCCCTTGGGGCCGTAGCGCCGCGGCCCGCGGTCCACTTCGCCGTCACCGCGCGTCGACCTTCCGTGGTATGCGCCGCGCCGTCTCCTTTGGCGCGGGAACGCCACCGTCCGCGCTGGTCTTCGTCACGCTGTCAGGGTTCTTCGTCTACTTCGAGCACGGACGCCGCACTCCTAACCTAGCCACCGCCGCCGCCGCTACCTTCGTAGCCGCCACCGCCGCCCGTCCACCCCCTTCGTCTTCGTCCAAGCACCAGCTCGTTGCCAGCGTCGCCGTCATCTACCCCGACCACTTCGTCTACTCCGACCACCGTTGGTGGCGTCGGCCCCGCGCCGATGGACGCCGCAATCGTCGTCGAGTTCTTCTCTGCTGGCCCCTCCGACTTCTCCGACATGGCGTACAGCTCTTGCAGGTCCCTCGTCTACGCATGCCCGGTGCTGGCAACACCGATGCGTGCCTTCATCCACGACGTGTCCCCGGGCCTGGCAAGCCTGGTTGGCGCTTCGTCAACTTCGTCTTCGTCCGTCTATGCATGCCCGGTGCTGGCAATACCGGTGCGTGCCTTCGTCCACGATGTGTCCCCGGGCTTGGCAAACCCGCCGCAATGCGTCGTCAACAACATTTTCTTCCCGGCGCACCCCTACTTCGACACCACTACGCCCATGCTAACTCGGCGCCCTCTTGCGCCCGCGGCTCCATGGCGACTTCCTCGACACCGGCTACCCCGACTCGACACCGACCACGGCATTCTTCTCACGGCTACCTCGACACAGCTACACCACCCACGCTCTCGGCTACCTCGACAACGGCACAAAGGGCTATCATCCGCTTGAGCAACTCGTCGGCTTCCACTACAGTCAACGCGTCCGCGACGCGACACCGTCAACGATGCTCCTGCTACGACTGCGGGGGGGATGTCAGCCCGTCGGCTGCTACTCTCTCCAGTCTGACCGTCCGCGACGCTCCTGTTGTTCGCAACGCTACCGCTTCCTCCTGCGGGGGGATGTTAGAGATATATTTGGGATACATGTATTTGGTAGTCTAGGATTTGTAATCCGTCTCCTACCTTATCTCCAGGAGAGGCGTCTTGCCCTCCAAGTCTTGTACTCAATATATACTCGCCCTCGAGTCTCAATAATACATCCATCATATTCTGCAACAATTTCTCTCTCTCCCTTCTAACAGAGTCCATCTCCGCGCATCATACGCCGAGTCTCCACTGCACCACGCCGCCAAGATCCGCCGCCATAATGTGTAAGATGAAGCACCGCTCCATCAAAGAAGCCGTCCACTGGTCCCTCGAGCCCGTGTACACCTCCAAGAATGACGCCCCAAGGGGGAAACGATACCAAAGCGCCGCCATCCTCCGATCTATTGATCTAGGGTTTCCCCGGAGGTAGCTATTCTTGAAGGATACATAATGTAATAGATGTTATTGAGGATGATCCATTAGCTATGTTTAATGTTTGGGGAAGTAATAACTTAGCTATCTTTAAGACCATCATGCTAGGACCATGAGAAAGTTCAGGCCAATCAGTTTATTGTATCATAG